ATTGTTGACTTATTCTACTTACGCTACGTGAATTCTTCGCTTAATTTTAATCAACGTGCACGGAAACAATGTCTAATGGCGACTATATAGTAATATCCTTTTTTTTTATTGGACTCGGTTAAGTAAATTTTCTTTTCTTTTGTGTTTACACATTACAAATAAACTCTATGCTACAATTTAAAAAGATATAGCAAATTACTAAGTCAAGCTTAATTCACGTTGACGCTACAACTGTAAATGTACACTGATACATGTATGTAATTTAGCGACATGTTACTGTCTAGTATATGAGAAGTGGATTAAAATTTATTTCAATAAATTTAACTTCTCGTATTATATATAGGCAAACGAAGAAATGAATGTTACGTTCGCGCCGTCATCCTGTTATTACATCATACCAGTAAACGCAGAGATCATTTTCATGTGTCACGAGTAATACGACCTGAAGCACGATCGTATCAATTTCAATCCCCGATCGACAGCACACTGCGTCGCAAGCAATTTTCATTTTTCTTCGGCGCCAATCGTCGCGCTCGAGCTACACGCTTCTTCTCGTGAGGAGGGTTACTTCGCGTTACCTCAGTTCAACGTAGCGAAAACACTCGGCCGGCCAAGTCGTCGGCACCAACGTGCACCGAGTTTTCCACCTGGCCTCTCTGGCCGATAGAGAGAGATAGAGATTAGCCGGAGAAGGGGGACGAGAGGGAGAGAGAATCGGATAAAGTTTCTTCTTTGTGACGCCGAAGTCGGGAACGAAGGGGGAACGAAGGGAAAGAGGCACCCCTTCTCTCCTCTCTCTCTCTCTCTCTCTCTCTCTCTCTCCCCCTCTTTATGTAGGTTAACCAGGTCGATCGGCCTACGTTCCCTCGTACCATATCCTGCATCTCGACCTACCCCCTATTCATCGTCATAACTTCTCTTGCACACTTTCATCCCCGTTATTGCCCTCTAACTAGCGGTGAATTTATCGATATGCAATATAAACGCTTTAGTTTAGATCCCGACTATGCCACACTCAAATCGTTATAGGAATTAATTGTAGTCATTAATTGATGTTTTGTTGACTTGTTATAATCATTAGTATCACGCTGATATAATATTGTAACGTAATATATTACAGTTTATTATTTCCACTTTCATTATTAAAGTTTTAATATGTATATGCATAGATTAAATGTTAAATATTTATGACAATTAATTTCCTATTGATATTTAACAATTTAAACGCGTTTCTACTTTTTAAATCAACTCAACAAACTTTCATTAAAATATTTTGCCGTTTTATTATAATATTTTAATATTTGCTGAAAGAAGCTTTAAATTCATTTTGATGGATGACATTTATATTGATATCAGTCCCTATATTTGTCTAGTCATATTAATTTTGTGTATTTTATTTCTTATTTGTTAAAAGTGATTTTATAAAAATTCAAAACTCACCTAAAAATTATCTTAATCAAGCGTGAAAAGATTAAAAATGAATTAATTTTCCAGACAATCCATTAAAAAACAATTAACACTATCTATTATACATTGTTTAATAATTCGGAACACATTGTTTAATGGCTCGGAAAAATTCTTTACAATTGAAAAGGTCACGTCAATTACATATTATACGCCTCCATCGAACGCGTTGGACGGTATTGCGGTCATCGGCGTAACCAATGCCACAATACTGATTTATTACATGGCAATACATGTAATAAAATACAAGCGAGTACTATTTAGAGAGTTCCATGAATTACTATCGGACAGTTAATTAAATCGCGTAATAGTTCCGTTTACGTTACACCGTAACAGTGCATATACGATGACCAGTTATATTTTCGCAAAGTTAATCGAAATTCCCACGTCAATCTGAACGTATTAGATCGGGGTCTCCCGGAGCCCCTAAGCCTCCTAAATTCGTCCCTGCACTCGGCTACCTAATCGCTCGACTTTCATCACTCGCAGCACCGAGAGATATTCTGTCGCGATGTAATTTTCGTCGCGCAAACGATCGGTTCCGATATTAATCCGCCGATTAATCGTCGCCACCTACGGAAGTTAATTGCCAGATTTGTCACGTTCGACGTGCCCTCGTGTAGGCCGCCATCCGGCAAAATCGGACCGTCACGAGAGCGCTCGAGCGAGGGGAAGTTCGCATTTGAAAAATGAACCGAGTCGCTTCCGGCCGTGGTACGCTGGCGCGTTCATCGAAACCCGTTCGATCAACAAGCTCGAAAATACAATCAGGTATCTACGCATACCGAACCCATCCGTGTGTAATGGTTAACGCTATATCGCCCCTCTTCCGTCAAGCTCTACTTTCGACAACAACCTGCGAGCTCAATTGGAATGAAATACAGTTTCGTCGTATTTTTCAAAACTTGCAATCATTTCGGGGGTTAATTACAGCGCGAAATTACAGCCTAAAAGATTAATATAACGATTATTTTTTCATTGCAACCAAGGGAATTGCGATTGTGCTTTTAAAGTTATAAAGAAACGATGATAAATTTTATTATTGGAAAATACTGCGGTATTAAATTTATACGCTGTCACGGTAATTGTGATACATGGACTGTTGATGCGGCGTAAAGAAGCCTCATAAAGGAGGAACAATGAAATGGATTCGCACATTGTCAAAAAATGAAATTTAATTAAAAACTCGATTCCCATTCCCGTCGTTATTCGATGTGACACCTATGGATTCAGCGATAATTCAAAATCATTTCAGGACAATATTCTATAGTCGCTTTCGCGTAGTTTCCAACGATTATAAATGTTAATGAAATGCGAATATAAGCCCGAATATACGCCATTTCAATTTTAGCAAAATTACAATATGAGGGGATTTATAGCTCCGAGTTTCAGCCTGCTTTTCATTTACGAGTTTCTTGATCAATTTACCGTCGATTCCGTATAATTAACGTATTCCGGATATATATCGTGTGTCATGTGCATTGTATTATACCATATGCTTATGTTTTATACAATATACAGGGTGTTGTATAATACCTCACTCATCTCTTATTTACGGATAGAGCAGATCAGACCGAGTCGAAAAGTCCTCTGCCATTTTGCAATTTTCGCAATAGTTAACGAGTTATTAATTATTAAACACTTCAGAAGATTACTTGATCATGTCTGGCAAATTTTTATGTTTAAAAGGACCACAAACCATGGTCGAAACGTTGTGAGTTTAAACATAAAACTCCGCCTAGCAACTCCGATCGCGGTACGGCCGCATCTCGCGCCGCGCGCTTCAATTGAACGGCAGGCCGGGCCAAGACAGCGAGTTTTAATAATTAATAACTCGTTAACTACTGCGAAAATTGCAAAATGGTAGAGGACTTTGCGACTCATTATCAGTTTAGTCCGGTCCATCCATAAAAAAGAGGTGAGGCTGGTATTACATAACTCCCTGTATACTCTTCTCTCCTTCTGCCCCGTTTAACAAACGACTTTACTCCACCGTCGCGTGTTTGTCGCGTTGCGCGACGTGAAAGCGGCTTAACGGTGAGAAATCCGTCATCCTCGGAGAAGCGTTTTCAGGGAAACGCGGCCGTATTGTAATTAATCGATGCGTTTACTCGGACCGGGGAAAGGTGCGACTGTGTAGGTACGTGTACACAACATTGCACTCCGCGCGACCGTAAATATCCGGAAAAGCTAATTCACCGTTTATATGACAAATGGCGCTGAAAATATTTCCGCGCTTTTCACGTTAGGTGTATTTAACGCGTATCCGATATAGGCTCGGCGCGGATACAAAGCCGTACGTCAACGGGAAAATATAGCGCGGCTCGTTAACTCTGCGAAACAGTTAACGCGGCAGGTTAATTCTTTGCGGCGGGAAATAATTTCGACCGGTCGGATCGAAAATAGGATCGCGCGGCGGATTGAAGCGCGCGCTCGCGTAGAATTTCTCTCCCTTCTCGCCTCCCTCCCCTCGCTGAATTTTGCACAATAAACGATTCGGGATTCTATTGACAGTTGAAAAAGCTTTTATAAAACAATAGCCGTAGTAATTACCTCGGCTATATATTTTCAAAATTTCATGTTAAAGTGCTTTACACATTGTTACAACGAAATAGTGAGCGTTTTGTTTTTCCTTCTACGCTGCCAAACATCGTCCGACGTAATAACTAATCTGCATTGTGCGTGCGGTCTTGCGCGAAGCTTCTGTAAAGTCTATTTGCTTCTGTGACACTAGCATCTTCTTCCGTTCCCCGCGCGTTTGCAAAAATATGTAACTGTTCCAAATCGCCCAGTCGAAACTACCTACAATTTGGCGGGGACCGCGCGATATCAAGCTATTTGCATTTACATACATGTTGCTTCCTCGTTAAACGTTCAAAAACGAATATAAACGAGATGCTAGTAACGAGAGATGCTTCACGCTGTTGAATTCGCAGTGCCACAAATTCGGTTCAATTTGAGTCTCCGCCTCTACTCCATATGTCGTTAATTTAACTAAACAATGGAGTTAAAAGAAACCACCAGAAATGGATTGTGAGAGGAAGGGAGAGAGAGAGAGAGAGATGTTGATTTTAACTTTTGAAAATTACACTTTGTGTTACAACAATAGATTATGACACACATGGCAGTTAAAAATAATGACACAGTGAGCAGTGGCTACTCAATTGAGTCAAATTTGCAACTACTATTTTTAACAGTGAATTTAACGAAGAGGCGTAATAGCAATAAATCCAACCGTGACTTCGAAAACACTAGGTGCAGAATCGATGCTCCTTCGCTTGGAGCACAAATTTGTGGATACCTCAAACTCTCCATTCTCAATAGAGGGTTAACAGATATGTCTCTCCCGCCCAATTTATGAGTGTAATACGTTCTACCACGCCTGATTTACGAGGGCAATTTTTTCCCCGAGGCACGCGTCATCGCTCGCTCGCGCGCGCGATCTAGTCCTCTCGAGATTTTCGGTCGTCGGACGCGCATACAAGTGGAATCGAATCGAAATTAAACTAAAAATCGAACTCGTCGAACCGAGACGTAAACCGTACATACCTAAAGTACAAACGCTTCCCTCTACGTCGCATCCCTCTGCTCGTTTTCTCGTCTCTCGCCTCGCCTCACTTGGTCTCTTTGTGCTCCTTTTACAGACGTTCGGAATTTTACGAAAAGGGAGAGAGTGACGATGCTTCGTGAGCACAAGAATATTTTGCAACAGAGTAACGGGGCTACGTGTACGACCGAGAGATTGACGGGTGATATATAAGGTAATAGGGGAAGTTCACAGGATGGCTTACTGCACGGTAAACGACAGCGACCCCGGGTTCGGTGCGAGCTAACTTTACGATCTCCTCGCTTGTTATACGTAATCATAGCGCCCATATTTTTATAAGAATGATAAGACCTCGTAATATTCTATGGGTCGTTTATTTAGTTAGAACTCTGTGGAGATAAAAAAATCCTGTTACCAAGATAAACAAAGTTGAGGTATATTTGATAAACGACGAGACCCTCCTTAATGCATTAACAAATAGAGATACTGTTTTGACAGACATTCGAAGGCTATTAAAAAGTTCAATAAAATTCCGTTTAACTCCGTTCCGAAGATTATATAATTGATATCAAAGATATTATATATTTGAAGGTAAAGAATATGAAAACGCGTATGAATCGGGAAATCTACTACTAATTTATTAGCATTAGTACTCGTCGGCTATTTTACTCGTCATGATTTTTCATACTCGACATTGATTATTGCACACAAACATTAATTAATATGCGGTGCTTTTAAGTTTAAAAAAAAAGAAACTTCTAAAACAAATCACCGGAAATATCGGGAGTTCCATTACAAGGTGGCTTCCTTTCGAATTACTTCGTGAGTCTAGACGTCGTACGAGGTTTCACGGGAGAACAAAAAAATCACAGAGAATCACGGATCGAATTTAAATTACTATTCGCCGTGCACGCGACTTCGGTGTTTACTTTATTCAAGGCACGTGATTGCGAGAGCTCGTTAATAGAAACTTTTTGCACAGCCGCTGTGTGCTTCCGGTATGATAAATACTAACGTCGCGTCGAATCGCGTGTACGGTAACTGATGTGAATCTAAAATGAAAATTGCCGCGACAGCCTGCCGTTGTCTCGCATCGAATACGGAACTCTGCGTTTACCGTACCCCAGATACAGTATTGCAAAAACTATTGTGTGTCTCGTTCGATGTGCCAGGCTTCGATATTCGCTCGCCGCGTGCGTCGCGATTCCTCGTCCAAGGCCTGCCGTTCAATCGCTCAGAGAGGGACCGCCATCTACGTCCCGATCGGGCACTTTTCCAGGTAGCGATTATTTATTGGAAACTAATTATTTTTATAATGATTAATAGTTGATTATTTGCCGTTTAACATCCCATCATTTGATATCTCATGAACGAATAAAATATTAACTGCTCCCCCCTCCCTACCGTGCTTCTATCATATTGTCGATAAATGAAACATAAACGACAGAAAACATATGCGTAGTTAATGAATATTTTAATGGAAACAATGATTTAAAATCAGCTAAAACAAGTGTTAATAGAATATTTGTGGTTAAAGTAATCATTGATAATTGTCTATTAAAATGATCATCTATTAATCAAAACTATTTATAGTCAATCGTTAATCACTCGGTAATTGCAAAATAAAAAATAACTGACCAAACAAAATATTATTAACTCATTCACGGCACAGGGATACTTAGCGATCGAAAATATTTTCATACGTGATAAGTGCCTTCATCGAAAAGCTATTTTTATATGCAGTTATAACAGAAACTCATCAGAATAACGTAAAATTATTAACATAAAATTAAAATGAGAGTTTTATCGAGAGTAATTTTAATCCTCTTTCTCTCTCTCTCTCTCACACCCTCTCTCTCATTTACGCACGCATATAAGTAGAAAAACTTTTTATTTATAACTAATATAAATTAAATATAAAACAAATATAAATTTTATTAAAAAATTATCAATCTTGAAAAAAATATTCTATCAATTCCATCAATAAGAAGCTTATCCTTTTGCTGATTAATGGCTTCTGATTTAATCTAGGATTATCCTAACTTTAATCATTTCCATTACTTATATGTGTGTGTGTGTGTGTATGTGTGTGAGTCTGCTGATTGTCCCGCGATCATAATTATCAATTGAACAACTCAACAATCGGTACTCGCGGCGGTGATTGATTTTAATTATTACACCTTGCCCAACTCTGTATCCCTAGGTAAGGGAAAGAAGATAAACGGGGCGGAGAGGAGAATCGGAGGGTAAGGGCGGAGTAAGTGTGCAATGGTGAATGTGGTGAATAATAAGTGGCGCGGGACACAATCAGCGGCACGAGGCAGCGGATTGGCGAATCTCCCGACTTCTCCGCCGACGATCATCCCCGTGGCGAGCGACGGAGGGTGGATTTCTAGTACCCCGCTGAGGGATCGCAAAGAGAACGCGAGCCCGACGGGAAGAAGGCGACACGCGAGGGGGTGGAGCAAGGAGGCGGCGCGGAGAGCAGCGGCGAAAAATCGGGAGCAATAAAAGGTCCTCGTGACGGAGGGGCTTCGCACGGCCCTGGCGCGACTGCGGCACTGTACCCCTGCGGGGGGCTCGCTGCCGAACACACCGAATCCACCGTCCACCCCGGAACACAAATCCCAAGTAAGCGCGAATAATAAAAAAAGTCATTCTCCGATCGAGCTTCATTTTTTTTACCATTCGCGATTCACGATCGTTGATTGTCCAATAATCACGTCCATTAAACTCGAGTGAACTTCGGCGCAGAGCGAATCGTGCTGGAAATAAAAACGGGCAATTTCTCTTCAGACTCTCTTCTCTCGTGGCATTGTATCGGCGAATTGTCGAACAAAATTATTCAAGATTGTCCGATTGTCGCGTGACTGATTACGACGGAGGGACGCGCGCGAATCCGCAATATCCGAACTGTTGCAGGGGTGTTCGAGGAATCGCGAGTCGGCAACCAGATGTGGCAGTTTGGGAAGTAGCGCACAGTGTGACACGGGGGATACATCGCAGTCGCAGCCATCGCGGGGACAGCATGGAGCCGACGGCGGCGGCGGCGGGCGGGACGGCGACCTTCTGTCGTCCGCGATCCGACGGTTCAACTTCAAGTCGGCCGGCGGCAGCCGTAGCTGCCGCACGGTGCCGAAGGTCGTGGTCATGGGCTCCAGCACGGCGTCCGAGACCACGATCAACACGAGCACCGACAGCGCCAACACCATGCTCACCATGGTAGGTAGGACAGCGCGCGCGAATGAGACGCGCGTTTTACCAAACAGCGTTGGCGGTTTACGGCGTGCAAATTTGACCAGACGTGGGTGGCCGGCGCAAATGCTGCGGAATGCCCACGATACGCCGAGAGCAATATCGCGGATATTACCTCGATAAACGTTATTACAATTAAAAGCTGATATTAAAATCGAAATTAGAGTCAAATTTCAACGCGGGATTAAAGTTACATTCGTGCCCCGGCACCGTTGCAAAATTGAGATTTCACCCGGGCCGACCAGTCCACGTTAACAAAATGTGTATTTGCGTATCGTGTATTATTTATATCGTTGTTATGCAGCTCCGTAAGACTCGAATGCACATGCGTGCGAAGCGATGCTGATCATTACGTTATTAATATTGATATTGCAGCCGTGAACTACACTGTATGCTTTTACGAGGCAATGCTAAAGTCAAACACAAGCTTCGGCGGGTCTCGCAAGCATTAAATATTATTACGCGATATTAAGGTAATTAATTAATGAAGCGCGCGTGCCCCGCGATATTGCATCGCAGTGCCGAAGAAAGTTGGTGAATTGTACGCCGATATCGACGAAACGCGCTCCCGGTGTTTGCTGTTTAACGAATCCGCTGCACTCAGGAGAGTGTGTTCTTCGCGTTGGGATTTAATGGACAGCTTTGCGTGCTTAGTATTCATATTTTAGTCTGCAGTTAAGCACGAAACCAACGTGCGGACCCCGTCGTATACGCTTTTCGCTCGGGGCACAGCACCTCAAGTTAATTTTTAATGAATTAACAAATACGCCCGAGCTAAATGAACAATTACAGGAACCGGGTTTTTTTCCTCGTAGGGCACGCCCGAAGGGAGTGATTAATACTCTGGATTCGTCGAGTAACGAGCGAATATTTCCGAAGCAATCTAAGATAGCAAACAATCCCTTTAGATTACCTAACCGTTTGGAAGCGTCTTCATTCGTTTCTTCCCGCAAACTCAGATATATCAATCAATTTCCCGAGTGCTTAATAAGGAAATAATTTGGCTCCGCGCGAAAAAAACCTGAACGTTGCACGCGAGGTAGTAATTTAATAAATACCGAAATATCCGTCATGTCCTGGAAGACAGAAAGAGGAAAAAAGAAGGAGAAAATTAGTTCTCGCGAGGCGCGCGCAATTCTCATTAAATTTTAACGACCAAATTTTCTAACGAGTTTAAAATCGATTTTTTTAACGAAACTATCGAGAAAAGTTTCTCGTCGCAATTTTTCAAATATTTTATATATTTTTATTAAATTTTAAATTATAACTTAAAATCTACTGAAAATATTAAACCACTAAAACGTTGTCGTTCATCTGTTTACATCTCCGAAGTTTAATTCTTCAAAATCCATTCACTTATTTCATCGCTCATACTTCAAGAACTACTCGCGCTTCGATATATTCCCTGTAAGAGAAAATTTCGAGGTCTCGAGCGCGAAATGCCGCTGTCAATCGCGAAAACTTTACACATAGTATATTTATATTTTTCGTACGCTTATTGTATATTTCATGGAATATATATATTCTATATATAACTATAACATATTGTTGGGACGATTTCTTTCCGTTCGCAGGTAACGACGACAGACGGGGAGCAGCCAGACGACAGCTTCGATCTAATCGACGTGCCGGCCGAAATGTCGCCCCCCGCTACGGCCCCGTCGCAACAATCATCCATCCATCCCGCTGGTCATCGGGGACACCCCGACGACACGATCGGGGGCAGTCATACCTCATCGCCGGCGTCGCCTACGTCACCGATCTCCGTCGCGACGCCGGCAAATCAAACCACTCCGCCGTTACCGCTCCCGTCGACGCCCACGACCCCGCTCTGCAATTTCGACGGGACCGAGGTCGCCGGGCCCTCGGGTCGTTGCATGCGCTCGAGACTCGACGCGGGTCAACCCGACGGTAATAGCAAGACGAGCACCGGTTCCTCTGTCAATCAGGGACACTGCGCGAGTAACGGCGCCGAGGGCACGACGTCTCTTCCGCCACCCACGCCGATCCCCGCGCATCAGGAGACGAGGTTTACCTTCGGCGGTAGCGGCAGAACCCCGCCTCTTCCTGATCTGAGAGCCGCGGATTTCTTTAGGTAAATGTAACTGACTTTCCCGGTGAATGACGACCCCAGCGAAACGCGATTAAACGAGAGGCAGCAAATGACATCACATACACACACGCGCGCGCGCGCACGCACACATAAAGAGTGAACAGTAAATTTTACGCTAAAATAGATTTCATGAAGAACTTTAGCTGGTCTATACTTTGAACGAGAAACTGCAAAGTTACAGTGCAATAAAATTTACTTGAACCTTAGAAAATCAGAAGCAGTAAGATGTCTAAAAAAGACTGTTCTTCGGAAGACTCCCCTTGACTTCATCTTGAAATTCGAACAAGAATTTTAGGAGAATTTGGGAACGAACGAATTTCGCCTATAAAACTATATTGCCTACAGAACCGTGTAATCCGCCAGTTATAATTTCCCTTTTCTCGATTTGAAATCGTTATCTTGTACAATAATTTTCAGATTAAAGATCCCCGTGCCCGCTTCGGGCAAGATCGAGATGTCTTAAGGGAATTAACGCCTCTTTTACTTCCGCTACCTTTTCCCCTCGGAGTACAAAGTTTACGGCTAAGCTACGAGCTACGGAGAAATTTTCGAGCTGACCTCCCGCGCGCTAAATTTTATTCCACGTTTGGGGAAGAGTCAGGGGACATGTTTCGGCAATGAATTCGTCAGACCCTGCCACTTGCGCGATCGCGACGAGACCGTATCCTATAATCCCGTTTTGCACTCAGCACCCCCGTGAGGGGCTCGGTGGACGCGGGCCAGCCCGACTCGGCCGAGACGCGCTCCTCGATTCGAAATCTGGTGGCCGCCCAAGAGAAGCAGAACGCCAGGATGGGATATCAGATCGATTACGCGGCCGGCGGAAAAGCCAACTCGAGTCAGGCCAACGCGCTGGAGAAGGGCACGGCCGATCACAAGCGGAGCCAGAAGAGGCCCAACGTCAACGTGACGACCAACCCGCTCGATATATCGCTCATAAGTGCGTCTCAGCCGTGCAATACCCAGGGTTGTAACATTCAGAGTAGCGCGAGTACGAAATCGCGAGGAGGACGATCAGCGGGTGAGTCTCTCGAGAGTCTCTTCTTGTTCTCTGCGAAATATTAAATCCCCCCCCCCTTCTTCTTCCCCGATATTACATCTTTAGGTAATTTCTTAAGTGCGACGTCAAGACTCGTTGAAATCACGACGGTGACAATAGACCACGTCGCGACTCCTGTCGGGCAATAAAAAGAAAGCATTCTCTCGCGTTCTAGTCGCGACCCACCGACGTCGCTCCTTCCAATTTCTAGGCGCGAATATAATTCTCCCTTTTCTTCACTCCCTCTCTTCCCCTCCACCCCCTTTCATTTCGATCTCGTTGTCGAGTTCATATTCATCGTAATTTACCTCGATGAGCTTGGATCTTGCTAATGATGATCGACCGCTCGTTCGCGGTTATCATTACGAATTGAAGGGCAGAAAACCAGCAACCTCGGTTAGCATTGATCGCGAGAGTTACCGATTTTACTCCCTAGCTACGCGTTACTTAGCCGGGGCTGTCGATCGCTCTAACCAGTTAACCAAGACTGCCGATCGATTCTACAGTCGCGTTGTCTTGTAAGTAATTCCAGTTAGGGATTCGCTGTTTCTAGATTGCGCGGAAGCTATACACCCCGTGATACAATCGTGTCTATAACAGAGACAGCCCGCGGAAAGGTCCGGTCGAGCACGGAATATTTTCGTGTCCTTGTTAAAATTAATTGAAAGCTGTCAAAATTATTAAAATAAAAATATCACAGCTATTAATCTTATCGTCGGAATATCACTCCGCTGTCCCCTTTATCCGAAAACGTTAATTACGTTGCTTTTACGATGTCAGTTTCAACGACGTTTGCGCTAATGGAGGAGGTAAAATATGCCTAATCAGGGTTAACGCTAATTGACATCGACGTGAATCGATCCCGCGCGTACGTAGATATATATAATGTATACGCGCGTGCGGTAACGCGTGTAGAGAAAACGGGCGGAGACGAGGAAAAAAAATGACGGGTAGCTCTAAGGAAATGAATTGATGTTCTTTTCTTTCAGAATCTCATCCACTCGTTTCAGCCATTCATTCATGGGTCAGGCTCTTTTTCCCGTTTTGCGCAATAGGTATTACATAGCCCGGCGAATAGACGATATAGTCATTCTCGTATCCACACGGGGCGACCGTCGAAAGCGCAAATGAGATTTATGTAATGACGACGACGGTGACGGTGACAACAATGACGACGATGACGATTACGGGGACGACGATGACGATGACAACAATGCAATAGCGATCATGTGTGCAAATGAGTGGGACGCGACTTGATAAAGCCTCCTATCATTCGGCGGCCGCCCTTTTTGACGGTATTACGTGGATACAATACGGTAACACAAAATGCGACTATGCGAATGCGCTTGGGCTTCTTCTCTTTTGTTCTCCATCTCTTGTTTTCGCTGCGTCTCTCCGTCCTCTCTCTCTCTCT